TAGAATACGAAAACATTGGTGAATGCCACAAATTCTCCTAAATCACTCGTACGCACAACTGAAGAACAAATCTGTGCGTACGAACGGTTCTTGCATGAGGCCCATTGAGTTTATGTTGAGATGTGCAATGATCAAATGAACATTTTGACGTACTGATGGCACTATATAAATCTGGATTATTTAACCCAGTAGGAGTTGATCCACTTTAGTTATTTCTAATGTGTCACACATCAAACTCTAACCATGGACCAAAGACAACATCAAATCAGCATTTTCATTGTCACGTTTGACTTAAACTATACAGACACGCAGTTATCACAAATATAAAAAAAATAAATAAACATGAGCAACAAAAATCCCACTGCTGTCAAGATGGCATAAGGTTATTAAAAGAGAAAACCACCTGAATAAATCAGTGTAAAGACGATACAACAGTAGAGACGCCCGAGGGCGAAAGGACCTCCAACACGTACGGTAAAGGATGTGACGTGTCACCTGAAAGCCCGCCACGATGAAATGCTCATTCAACATTCGGCTCGGTCGCAGCCTTCAATTGGAAACCAAGGCTGCTCGGAAATGAAAGCCATTTGATATCACAGAAGAGGCGAACGAGAGAATGACAAGAAGAGAATCAGTGGGATGTGAGATGCAAACCAAGTGTCGCAGCTGGTGTTTTAGACCAAAAAAAAAAAAAAAGGACTCAACTAAAATTCTCACAGAGACTGGCTCTGATGGGTTAAAAACAGAAGAACTTACTTCATGGGTTTGAACAGAGCCTGGCCGTAGTTTTGGAAGGTCATGATGAGTTTAAGCTGAGTGCCTCCAGATTTCATCGCTGTTGGAATAAATAGAAAAAACAATGTGAACTCTATAGAAACTGACAAATCCCAAAAAATATAGTATTATCTTATCTGTTAAAAAAAAATAGGAAAAAACCAACATGGACACCCTAAAAACATCAAATCTGCATTTAAAATGAGTGCATTATTTAGGTGAACATTAGGAATCAGTTTAAAATAGAAAATGAAGTTTTGCAAAAACTCTCACTCCACTTCCATTTTCAAACCACAAATTAAAACTCTTCTTTTCAAACAGGCATGGTCTTTTTAACCTCTAACACAGTTTTTCACATCACCTCTAAGTTCTGGATGTTATGCATAATGCTAATTTGTTATTTTTATTGTTATTTTCAATTTATATTGTGCTTTATTGTACAGTGTCCTTGCC